CCACCTGGAGTGGTTGGTGTATGGTGAGGGACCTACCCCATTGATCCTCAATTATCTTTCACATCTATCCTCACAAGGGCGGTCCTACAGATCCCCTAATGTGATTAGATTGGCTATATTGGCAGCGCGGGTGCCGATACAGGGCATTCTAGTTTGTCGGTTACGTTGGGGTGCCAAGTTGTCGAGACCTCGGCACCGAGACATTCACGCATATGTCATGTAGATGTGGTGCGGCACTTCCTGAGGGAATGGCCGGATAACCCGTACCTTTCGCTGAAACAAATTCCAGCCAAACTCACCATTCTGCTATGTCTCGTCTCGTTTCGTTGCGTAGCAGACGTAAGGTCGTTTGATGTCGATGGCTTCTCCTTCATTCCAGAAGGGGTTACCTCCAGATATCACGTCGTACTAGTCTGACTCTTCTTCGGTTTTTTTTTTTTACCCGTTTTTTATAGCGGATCACAGACTATGTGTAGTTAGGACGTTAAGGTGTTCTATGGAAGTCTCAGCTCCTTTCCGAACTTCTTCGGCGGGTCATCTTCTGACTTCGTTCGTGAAGCCTCACGGCCCGGTGGCTATTACGATCTTGGCCAGATGGATCCGTTGGCTTCTATCATTAGCCGGCGTTGAACCATTTTGGGGACCACTTGGTCAGGGGTGCGGCCGCTTCACTGGCATTATCGGCAGGAGCCTCCCTTGACGATATTATGCGTTGCGCGGATTGGACACGCGAGAGTACCTTTAGAACATTTTATTTCAGGCAGACTTTAATTTTGGTTAATTCATAGCGTTAAAAATGCAAATAGGAAGCCTCCTGTCATATGGTAAAATTGAAGATTATGCTAGCTTTAGTGTACTAATAATCTTAATTTTAGTAATGACAGGAGGCGAGTATTTCCCACCCTACTGTTTTTTTCTCTCCCTTTGTGGCTATGTTATGTAACGTTCTAAATTGTTCTCTGTTTTATACCGTCTAGGATAATGATGTAGTATAATTATATAGCATTGACTTTATTAACTTTAATGATACAGCTAGCATAGCATGCATAATGGTTATTTATGTAATTCGATATACATTATATGCGGGCAACTTGCTGCTTCAGAGACCTTTCACTTCTTTCTTTTCTTTCAGCATAATTGGCTATCGACCAAGGATGGACTCATCTTTCTGCTTCCACGTATAAAGCGTTCATGGGAGCTCGATTGCCTTTGTTGGATTTCAAGTTGGACTGATGTTATTGATTCAGTTTTTTTTATCTTATGTATTATTCTACCTGTTTATATCCTCGCTACAAAGAAAGAGGAAATTATGTCACTGTCAGGGCCTTTTATGTGCCATCTAACTTTTTTCTGATTGGTTGTTACAGTTTTTCTGTGTTGCTGGAGATTTTCAGTAAAGAGAGTTATGCAAATACTCGCCTCCTGTCATTACTAAAATTAAGATTACTAGTACACTAAAGCTAGCATAATCTTCAATTTTACAGAAATCTCGGGCAATCACACCTGAAGACACTACAGAGTCCAGACTTTAAATGAACACTAAAGCTAATACAAAACTATATTCCTAACGTTTTAGTGTCCTTTCCCTAACTTTATATTTGCCCTCCTCCCCCCATTCAGCATAAAAATCCTTTTACTTTCCTTTTTTTCTTGGCGCTAGGTACCTCTACTTTTCCTGCGATGTAATGCAAGAGGCATGACCAATGTCTAATCCAATGTTTCTCATAGAGTCATTACTTTCCTATCAGGCTGCAATCACATGACTGGATTTCTCTCGGTTGCTGCAGCAGGAAGCAGCTCTGGTGGCTATCTGTATGAGTGGCACTGAATGTGTGTTTAATCCTGCAATGTAAACAATGCTGTTTTGAAGAAACTGCAGTGTTTTTGCATTGCAGGGTTAAACATACAGGATCACAACACCCAGGCCATTTTTAATTAGATAACATGGCATGGGTAACTTTAGTGGTCCTTTAAGCATTTAGAATAATGGTTGTTTCAGTATGTAGAGCATGTTTTAGATTAAAGTACTGCACAGATGGTGACATCTTTGATGCAGTTGTTCTCCTGTAAAATGTATCCTTCACATAATATCTCCCTGAAATATGTTGGAGTTTATGTGTCCCTTCTCTCTTGGTTTAGGTTGAGTGTCACCCTTACTTCACACAGAATAAATTACTGGAATTCTGCAGAAAGCATGATATAGTGGTTGTAGGGTACAGTCCAATAGGAACTTGTCGTGATGCAACTTGGTAAGTAATCACATGGCCTATAGCCTCAAGTTGTACAGAAGGAAAAAGATTAAAGGGTTACTCCAAACTGTTTTGAAATGGTTATGAAATGCTGCTCATAGAGTGATAATTAGTTTTGCTTCAGTATAAGTCCATCTCTGAAAGCATCATTAGTTGGCCATGAACAAATGCTGGCTAAAATCAATTCTGTATATAAAAAAAATCCATCATGTTGGGCTGCAGGGAGAACTTGGCCTAAGCATTGGATAGGAAGAGGAGTTTTCTTGTAACAACCAAAAGATAGTGTTTTCAAAACACAGTGTTTTGGTTTAAGTAACCCTTTAACATGAGTTACAGGAACCACCACAAATGATGTACCAATGGCTAGTAAGAGATCAAGTGCTTTGTTTATTTTGTTGTAGATAAACAAACCATTGCCAGCACCGTGTTTTCATTAAGTAACTTGAATTTATTTTTTTATTTTCTTCTTCAATTGGTTATTAATACTATCTTTTACTATTCAGCTGCCGATTTTTATTTTTTATTTTTTTTTATTCCGAGAGCGTGTGCTGAAAAAAGAAAAATTTGCTTCATACTTACCGTAATTTTCTTTTCCTGATAATTTATTCATGGCAGCATTTACTCATGGGTTAGCTCCTCCCCTCACAGCAGAAAGGACAGGAAACAGAACTCTGAAACTGGTATAAATAGATCCTCCCCCCTTCCCATCAGGCAGTCTTTGTTATCTAGCTTCACAACTCTTATAGTATATGGGTGGGAACGTAATGCTGCCATGAATAATTTATCAGGAAAAGAAAATTACGGTAAGTATGAAGCAAATTTTCCTTTTTCCTGACCATTATTCATGGCAGCATTTACTCATGGGTAATACCCAAGTTGAAGTGCCGAAAATCACGTGACCGTTTTTAAAAACGGAATTATATACTTTCCCCCCTTCGTTTTTTATTTTAACTGATTCTGATTGGCTGCATCAATTTTTGGCGCCCTTATTCTAATTAATTGTGTCTTATATAACCCCTATGTGCCAGGTAGTAAATGCTATTGCATATGATAAAGTCTTTTGTGACGAAACGCGTTATGGATATTTATATTGTGTATTATTATTAAAGTTAATTTGGTTATTTATTTGTGCCAATTATCTCTTTTATACACATCTCTTTTATTTTATTTTTACCCTGGCTTTTTAATTATTATTATATTTATTTTATATCATTTTATGATATAATTTTATTATTTTTAAACCATTTATTGGTTGCACCAACAAATTGGAAGACTCCAGTACCCCAAGAAATCCTTAAGTGGGGATCAATCCACTTACGCTGACATCATAGAGCAGTCCGCCTGCTCTCTATTTGTAAGTACGTTTTTTTTTAATTTATACCATCACCACTATACAGTGAGCACTATTGGTTGTCTCTTCTTCCTTCCGAGAATTGGTCACCCCTGACGGAGAGATATCCCACCATATATCCCATAAGAGAGGGGAGGAAGGAAATTTAGGGGAGGG